AAAACTTATATAATTCTTCGTTATATGAGTGAAGTCTTGTTCGACAAAATATTAAAATTTTTGCCCAATAATTCATAATGTTGTTTGACAAATATTGAAAAGAGAGATAAGATGTTTTAATTGCTTCGACAATGACGACAAGTAGCAAAAAAGAGAAGAAGAACATTTAGCATCTCAAGAGGCAATCTCTTTCTCTCTCAATTGAGTACCGATCTTTAATTTGTAATATATATTATGGCTTTCATTGTCAATCATTCATCTTTTGATAATTTTTGTTATTTGTGTAATAGTCAAACATGAATTTCTCTAATTGATGGTACTTTATATTCATTCTAATTTGATCTTTATTGTGTTTTATTTTATTTTTTTTTGTATTTCTTCGGAAACTTGATTTACATGCTTTTACTCATGTGAAGTTATAAAAAAAAGAGTCGAATGAATGAACAATAAATAAGACCCATGACTTGATCACATCTATATAAAATTAAAAAATCAAGAGTAAATCTAATATTTTAAGATAACTCTGTAAGAAATATTAGTTTATTGTGTTAAAATACTAATATTAACTATCTTACGTAAATTTTGTAATGAGTTTGACTATGAAATATAAATTTATGTACTAAATTTAATAAAGTTGACCACAACATTTGCAACAATTATCTTGTTCTTCTAATTCAGTGCAAAACACATTATTTTTTTTTTTTTTGTTAATATCATAGTTGATTACATATAGGAGAATGATATATATTATTTACTATTTAAAGTAATTCACGTATATGTACACTAAATAATAAGAGTAAAGAAGCATTTAAACCATCCCATTCCAAAAGATGTACCCCTGATTTCTTGTGCTGCCCACGTAGTTCGACTGTTGGGGAATCTTCGCATTCATGCTTATTTTTGGGATAAAGTAGCACCAAGATATCGAAAATATATGTATCATTTAAAATTTTTTGCCTCGATAAGATATGTCTTATTTGTAAAGGTGGACGAATTTATCACAATTATTAGATTAATTGTGGATCATAAAGAATAGGGTGGGACTATTCTCACCGTATAAATTTTTGTTTTCATTTCATCTATAATATAAAATAGGACAGATTTTAATAAGTTCATCCGACGATTTTAAATAGACTTATTTAATAACCACCAACATCTATTCGCATTACACCGTGTCTTCAGACACGGATTAACCTACTTAAACTATAAGTCGTAAATTACTAAGTTCACTTATTTTATACTCACCCCATTAGTAACTAAGTTCACCCTATTTTATACTCATCCTATTAATAATAAAATTTATCTCAATTTTTACTTTTAGGATTTCTTTCTATATTCATCTCGGACGGAATATTGAGATCTTCTATTAATTTAATAAATATAATTAATTAAAATAAATTAAGTTTAAGCAACCTTGTTCAGATAGATTACTAGACTACATGTTGAAAATGTAATCCAAATGTAGTTTTATTTAATTTTCGCTATTATCTCTAAGTACATCCCCAGGGTTGTGCGGTGAGCCCCAACGATCCCAGCCGGCCACCTGTGCTATCAGCTCACCGCTGTCACGGTATCTACTTCCCTGAACAGTCAACAACCAGCANGTGAGCCCCAACGAACCCAGCCGGCCACCTGTGCTATCAGCTCACCGCTGTCACGGTATCACCTTCCCTGAACAGTCAACAACCAGCAAGATCGTTCTCTCTCTCTCTCAAAAATTTTCATTCCTTTCAATTAGCAGACGACAAACAAATCTGTTTTGACAGTGATGACGTGGTGTTGCCACCAAATATTTACTCCTCTCTCTCCCCTTGAAAACACATTCAAGCTCCATAGTTNAATTAAACTATAAGTCGTAAATTACTAAGTTCACTTATTTTATACTCACCCCATTAATAACTAAGTTCACCCTATTTTATACTCATCTTATTAATAATAAAATTTATCTCAATTTTTACTTTTAGGATTTCTTTCTATATTCATCTCAGACGGAATATTGAGATCTTCTATTAATTTAATAATTATAATTAATTAAAATAAATTAAGTTTAAGCAACCTTGTTCAGATAGATTACTAGACTACATGTTGAAAATGTAATCCAAATGTAGTTTTATTTAATTTTCGCTATTATCTCTAAGTACATCCCCAGGGTTGTGCGGTGAGCCCCAACGAACCCAGCCGGCCACCTGTGCTATCAGCTCACCGCTGTCACGGTATCACCTTCCCTGAACAGTCAACAACCAGCAAGATCGTTCTCTCTCTCTCTCNGCGAGCCCCAACGATCCCAGCGGGCCACCTGTGCTATCAGCTCACCGCTGTCACGGTATCTACTTCCCTGAACAGTCAACAACCAGCAAGATCGTTCTCTCTCTCTCTCAAAAATTTTCATTCCTTTCAATTAGAAGACGACAAACAAATGTGTTTTGACAGTGATGACGTGGTGTTCCCACCAAATATTTACTCCTCTCTCTCCCCTTGAAAACACATTCAAGCTCCATAGTTTGGTGCATCGTATCCATCACAGTAATCATTCGGATT